AGTGTTACGACAGCGGAGGTCACGCGACGCTGGTAACATGTCATCTTCTCGAATGTTCACGTCCCTTCCTGAAATCTCGAGAGCCTACTAGATATATGGTAGTCTTGTATATATATAAACCAATAAGAACTGACGGCAAGGAGGTAATGAGTAATTGACAGTTGAGTCGAGCACGTGAGACGTTCGTTGTGAATTATAGCGTTTGTTATAGCGTGACTGTGAAAGTTAAGTGTATTGCAAAGTTGTATTCAGAAATAATAAACCAGTTTTATTTAAGAAAGGACTTGTATCGCTAAAGTTTCTTCGGAAAGAATTTTTACGGAAAATTAACTAACGACCAGAGATGTAATAATCGAGAAGGTTCGAGAGATATGCAGAAATAAGGGCAAATTTTAAACACGAAAACCATTCATTTAGTCGATGTGAAATGAGAGTTAATGCAGGCTCATATGCAGAATGTTTGACCTTGAGTTCTAATTTGTGAGATCAAAATCCAATACATATTGTGTAAAGCACAATCAGCATGTTAATGCTATGGAGATCTGGGAGCATGACTCCCAGAAAATTTTTAAAAAGTAGGTGCTATGAGGTTAAATCGGGAAGAAATTTTTGCATGAAATATATTTTAAACAATTGCATGGCTATTCACACAAAATCCAGATAATCCAAAAGAGCCCGCCCAATGATAGAACACATTACAATGATATTTAATAATTAGAATGCTGTGAGCCATCATTTGGGTTCCCTTGCTGTTAACGATCTTTTCAGTCATAAGTTTGCTTATTGAGGAAGATTATTAAATTGAATTAATTATATTATAGTTTACAGAACAGGGAATCTGAGCAGCATAAATCCTATACTTATACTTCAATCAACAAGTAATAGATACTTACAAGTGTCATAATTGTATTGTGCTTATTAATATTTTTAGTTGTTGTTAATTACTATAATAGATTTAACTGTTGAGAATAACTGTATACGTGGAGGGTACAGCTGACTAGTTGCCCTTCCTCTGGTATCAGTATTAAATAACGGATGGCTATGCTTGAACCTAGGGTTTTATACTTGGCCAGGTGGCCGTTCACTGACTGAAATAATTCAATGCATTCTATCTAACTTCGATCGCTTTGAGAAGGCTTGAATGCACCTAAGTAAAAAACACGTCAGCTTCCTTCTGTAACAGATGAACAGTGAAAATCATACAAATGTAGATTTTTCAAAGTCACAACATCCAGTGTCGATTTCTGATATTATTGTTTACAAAATGGATGTTTACTAATCTACTCACTTTAAAAAAGGAAAAGCTAGTTTAATTTCAAAGATAAGCAGACAATGGCTATTAAATCTCTATTAGACAACATATATATTTTCAATGTCTCACTAACAATATAACTTATAAGGGAAAACGAAAATTTACACACATATTCCTATGGTTTCGCCCACAGTGCATTGAGGTTATTTGTTCTAGTTTCACGAGTTTCCAAACTGGATACATTCAACGACCGGAGATAGGCGACATATAAAGACTAAATTATCCGGATTAAATCGTTCAATTGAAATATCAACTTACTCATTTAGTATATATTGACGCAAGACCCAAAATGGCGTCTACTATATTTGCTGTTATGGTTCTGGAAGCTAGGCGCAGGCCGTACATCGCCAGTTATGTACACGAAACAATCAAAGGTTGATTGGGCTTTTGCGGTAAATAACTTCAATATGATAAATTTGTATTAAGTGTTTTGTCGTATAATTGCGTCATGCTTTTCTCACTTAAACTTCACATGTAAACAGTAAAGTGTTGGATATCATTTTGCATCAGGTTTTTAATACTGAAAGGTGACTTGTTGGTCATTCAGAACGAAAAAGTGTACCTTATTTGGATTTTAGCTTTTATAATGAAGAATTGTGAAGTATCTTGCAATTTTCACTAGTTCGTTAAAATTAACATGCTTCAACTCCAACTTTCAGTTTCAAATTCATATTAAATTTTTAAATTTAAGTTTTTAAGTTTAACTGTTAGTGTTAAAGTATCTGGAAACAACTTTTTTAGAATTTAATGTATGAATTATACCGATCACAAGTAAAATTAATTAAGTTGAAAAGTAGAAACAAACTTAAATATATTAAAACATAAAAATTTGATTCTGTTTTGTTTGTATTTCCACAGAGATTCTTTTCAGTTTTTTTTTTGGCTGTACTGTACAGTGAGTTTTAGGGAAGAGACTTATTTAGTTGACATGATAAATTTTACTAAGTTGATTTGCAATAGGCAAGTAGCCTAAGCTAATGAGTAGTATAAAATGAAATCAAATTTAAAGTTAGTTTTGTCTTTAAAATTTTATTGGCCACCCAACATCACGACTATCATTATAAGCATCATGACAGCAAATTACAAACTGAATTAGATGTACCATATAACAGACAATAACGTATAAGCAGGTGGGATATTTTGGTATAATAATGAGTGGTGAAATAAAAATTATCTGTTGAAGTAATAAATAATTTTCAGTATTATCATGAAAGTGTGTACAGCACTAGTAGTGTTAGAAAAACTGGCTAGTTATAAATTTTAAATGTTTGAACTATGAGATAGGTACATCACAACCTAATTGTGTTCAGGAACTTGCATAAACCACCTTTGAATTGCATGAGTGAAAGGATGGAAGGGTTTGAAAATTCAAATTTTAATATTATTAGATTAATGCTTGGATTCCCAGAGTCAGTCTTTTTTTTTTTCTGAGGACAAATTGATTTTAATATCAGAGTTATGATTATGAACTTGTGGAATGATTTATTTAATGGTATATACTGTGGTTTTAAATTATTTCAAACAGTTGGTTGATAGATGTGGAGATGTGATGGGGAATCCTTAGCTTCAAATTATTGTTTTTATTGGACAAATACAGAGTGAAATAGTCCTTTTTTTCCTCATCACCTCCTAATTTGCAATAATATGGCTGCCAAAGAAAGTGAAGTAATTAGTAGTATGATGCAATAGTTCACACATGTATCTCTTGAATTACTTTAACTGTAATTAAAAATATATACCTTTAATAATAACCTATTATTTACTATTTAGGCATAATTGAAATTAGAGAAAGTTGTTAAGAAATGAAATTAGTATTATTTCTTCTTTTAGATGCTGGCATGTATTGGCACAGAATAATTTAGTTATAGCATTATCACGTACATATTGCATTACACACAAATAATTTATGTTAATAATAACTTACTAATATAATGCTTACATTTTGTACAACCATCCTTTCTGAAAGCTTAAACTGTGATGTGTTGATTGGTTTGTGTCACAGAATTATATGAAATATTGTAAATAGGTGATATCAACTAGTTGATTATTTTTGTGACATTAATCAATTTATTCCTAATTTCATTTTAATCAATTATTTTACATGACGTAATTCAGTGTGATCAATTCTTATTGGTAATTGTTAAATCAACCAGCTTTAGTTAGCATTAATAGTAAAATTAATTAATGTTTCATCATTTATTCTTGATTGAAAGTACAGTAGTGTTTGTTATTTAGAAGTGTTTTGTTATTTCTCAAAATAAGAAGATGAAATTCCTCAAGAAAAGTTAAATTGTTAGGGAATGCAGGAAAGTAATATTTTGATCCTTGTATTCTGTTGTTAGTGGTAGGGTAAATAGGATTTTATGTTGTATCTACAGAAATATTGATTACAAGTACAAAGATTATTATTTCATTACATAGGCCATTGGTTAGGCCACATTTGGAGCACTGTGTTCAGTCTTGGACTAACTAACCTTAGGAAGAATATTGAATTGTTGTAAGTGGTTCAGAGAAGGGCTACTGGTATGGAAAGGTTATTATAGACAGACAGGTAAGATCTTTGAAATTGTTTTCTCTTAAAAATATAGTTAGAGGGGATCTGATTGAGATGACTAAGATTGTTAAGGGAATTGATAGTGTTGATGCATTATCTTTTTGTACTTACTGGTGAAAATGGTAGGACTATGAGATATGGGTATAAATTTTGAAAGGGTATGAGTCATCTTCAATTAAAACAACTTTATTTTTAATTTTATAACAGGGTGGTTGGCCTTTGGAATGGGTTGCCTTCAAATGTGATGGATACAGTTAATTTAAAGGAGTTTTAAGGGAAGGCTTGATAAATACTAGGATGACAAGGACTTTTTTGTTAGAAGACAAAGAATTCTGTAGTTATTATTAAATTATGTTATTTAAAGTATTTTTATGTTTATGCTTATTTGTTTATATTTGATACTATGTTTTATATATCAATATGGATAACTGTAAAGTTGATGCAAAATGTTTTAGTGAAATTTCATATATACAATTCTTTCTTCAGTATATTCGTGAAATATTAGTAACATCCCATTTTCTTTTTCCTCAGCTTATTATACATTTTTCTTTTTTAAGCTGCAACAATCGATTTATTGTATTGTGTATTTAAATGTGAAAATGATGAGGCAGTGTTTCTTAATACAGAGTTGCACAAAATGTCTATGAAGGATCATTTAACTTCGTTTGGAGGTGAGGCTGGCATAGATGAAGCTGATGCTCTAGGGTTGCCTTTTTTTTTGAGAAAAAAACCTGTACCATCTACTTACCTGTCCAGTCATCCTGACAGTGAGGAGTACAACATGAAACATCCAAAAAGAGGAAAATGCCTGATATTTAACAACAAAGATTTCGAACCGCATACCAACTTAAAAGAAAGAAAGGGCAATCATCGAGATGTTGAACAACTCTATTGTTGTTTTAGAGAATTAGACTTTGAAGTTGTCATACACTGTAATTTATCTGTTAAAAAAATTAAAATTGAATTGGAAAAAGTTAGTAAAGAAAATCATTCAGAGAGCGATTGTTTTATTTGCTGTGTCTTGACACATGGAGATCGTGGTGTTTTGTATGGCCGAGATGGTAGGTTTCCTACAGAAGTGATGTTTTCTCCATTTACTGGTGATATGTGTACAACCTTAGCAGGTAAACCCAAAATGTTTTTTATACAAGCTTGTCAAGGGGATAAGTTGGATAGAGGGGTCACTTTATTATTAGGGAAAGATGAAGCTGATGCTGCCACACAGTTTTTCAAGATACCCACCCATGCTGACTTTCTTATAAGCTATTCCACTGTGCCTGGGTTCTGTTCTTTCAGGAATACTAATAATGGATCATGGTTTATACAAGCATTGTGTAATGTGTTGAAAACTCAAGCCAAAGACAGTGATCTACAGAGTCTAATGACAGTAGTCTGTCGTAAAGTTGCATATGACTTTGAGTCCTGTAAGCCAGATGATCCAAAAATGAGCAGGATGAAACAAATGCCTTGCATAAGTTCGACGCTCACCAGGAAAATCTTTTTTCATCCAAAATTTTAGTAGATTTCTTGTATAAAATTGTAAAGTTCAGACTTGGATTATGATGAAATATATTAATGATTTTATATCATGTTTGTAGTGTGCAAACTGTATAGACATTATATTATGAAGGTTTTACTTAGTAGTGCATTGGTAAAACGTTTTTTTTCTTGAGAAGCTGAAATTTTATGGGGTTCATAAAATTCAGTTTTATGTAATTATATTAAAACCCTAATAACAGTAGTCCAGCTTGTGACAATTATAGTTTAACCCTTTGAGTGCATAATTAAATTTTGGGGGGTTCTCGGAAAGTGTCAATTATCTACTAAAAAAGGAAATTTAGTATTTCACCTCTTTTAGTACTTTTTTCAATATTGAAATCCACTAGTTGCACTTTTTCTCAGTGATGTATGCACATGCACAGTTCTAGGGCAGGAAAATCAAGGATGTGTGAGTATCCCAATTGTCGCACTGTGAGGAAAAGTTTTTGTGACACTGTAGGATAAATCTGCTTGTTGCACCAAAAGGCTATAAATGTCAAGTTGGATAAATTTGATTATAGCATCCAAAGGATTAAATTTGGATAAATAAATATACATTTTTTTCCACTTATGAGAGCTGTGCTCTTGTTTAATTTACTTACATTTAATGAGAGACTTTTATTAGTGTTTTATTTGTGAAAATGCACTGTTTTTCATTTAAAAAAATATAACTTTTTATTTCTGGTGATTTGGATTTATTTTATACTGCATATTGCATTTAACAAAATATTGCACACAATAGTAAATGGGAAAATAAAGTCTTACAAAAACTTAGATGTATGTCTTAGAGGTGATGTTTTTTATTTTAAAAGTGTCAATTTTGTAAAAGTTTACATTTCTTTAGCATTTAATATTAGGTCAGGTAAATGATATGTTAGTCAAATGCCACAAGCTACAGTTACTGTTGAAGTTAATGTGGTAGCTTGAATAAGAAATATCATTTTTTTTTGTGATAAATTTAGTTATGAGATTACAAGTATGATTTAAAGTGTGTGTTCAGTAAAATTTCTTTGGTTTTTTTATCAGTTCAGATCAAAGTTGTTTTTTTTTATATTTTCATTCTCTTTGTAAAACTTTTAAAAATTAATATAGTACAAAACTAGGTATATTTCACCATAATTCTACTATCACTAGCTTTTTTATTTTTTTCTGGGAAGCACTGCATGGGAAAAGTGTTCGAATTGTGCTCTTTAGTCATATCCAGCATTTCTACCAAGTTTAAAGCCTACCCGTTTTGTCATTTCGGACTTATCTGTATTTATTATTTCTTTAAATAGATAGGTAGATATCTAGACGGTCACGCCATTTCATCACTATAGTAAAATTTTCTTGTGATAAGTTTTCTAAACTTTTAATCCTAACTGTGTTTGTAGGTATTATGGTGAGAAATAGTTAAAGTGGTTTGTATTTCATTTACTTAAATGTGTGCAATAAATATATTGTTATAAATAAAATGTTTCTGATTTAATTTCATCAGTGTCAACTTTCATTACAGTATGTGCTAACTTGCCTCTTACTCAAAGTAGGTTGACACACAGCACACACTCTTCTATTATGTTCATATCTGAGAAAATTAACAAACAGGTAAGTGATTTCTTTTTGCTATGTATTAGGGGAATGTGTCTAGTATATATTGGCATCGAGATTTTTTACTTTGAAATGCATAGATGACTTTTATTTTAAAATTGAAAAAAAAGCAAGTCAACCATCCCCAGTCCACTCTACAAATCGAATACATAGTTATTAAATACCGTCAGATTTACACTGCTGTTAAAGAAGTAAAAATTAATACTTTAACATAGTGTATTAAAAATAGTATCTATATGTATCTGTTATCAAAAAGTCGAATTTAAAATATACACACCTATGCACATGGCCGAATTTTGGACTAAAGAATTGGGGAAAACAAAAAAAAAAAGTTTGTCGTAATTATTGTGAGTGTCTTATGTATACCATATCTCACAGGAAAAAATGATTGAAACATATGTTTAAGACTCACATACTAAATTGGACCAAATAAAAAATATTGCTCTGTTGTAAAATATCATCGTTAATTTATGCTATTCTTTCATATGTACAACACTTTTTATTTCAGAAGTCCGGTAAAAAAAAATCAATCACATTTACGTTTTTGTAATTATGGAAGCCATAGATGAAAGAGCTGTGACTTGTGTACATCAAAAGTAACGATGAAAAGTCGAAAATAGCAGGGTAATTTACTCCCTACTTCGCTACAATGAATTAACGTTAGAGTTCTTCAAGACAATAGAAAGCAAACTAACTAGCTTGTGAATACATGTTTTTCTTTATTAATTTGTTATCCCGTAATTAGACGGAGAAAAAAGTTTGTTTTACTGGATTTCGCATAAAGCTACACGAATGATATCAGTGCTAGCCGTCATTAATTTTAAAGTGAAATACTAAAGAGAAGGCAGCTAGTCAACACCACTTGCCGCACTCTTCGTCTCCGAATAGTGGGACTCGAACTCTGATAGGCATTCACGGCCTCAAAATGCAGGGTGAAATATCATTTAGGCGGTAATAGGATGCAAGCCACGGAACTGCAGTTCCACAGACCAGCAAAATAATCACTGAGCCACGCCTGGCCCGAGAAAGAAAAAGATAACAGTACAGAAACTTACGGACAGATGGCAGAGTAGAACATTCCGAGTTTGGTGTTATGACTGTTATTTCGTAAGTTACACAGGAGTTCCTTTGCAAAGATGAAGCATTAGACTGACATAAATTTGCACAAATGTTAGGCATTATCTGGGTTCAAGAAGTTACTTTAACCCTCTGAAGTTCTGAAACAGTAGTTGATTTGTCCGTTTATTTTAGTTGATATATTTTACGTCGTCGAAGTATAATTGTAATACGTCTGAAAATCCACAATTATTCGCCATATTAAAGCAATATGTCTGTAAACAGTCTTAATCATCCCGAATTTATCTACATGTTTAGGTTCAAATCTTTTCACCGAACGAGCTGGACTTTTAGAGCACTAAAATAATCCATGAATTCTGGAGAGTAACAGCAGTGTAAAGTATCATATGTTTATCACGATAACCATAGTGGATATTATACATGTATGCATATACTAGGGATAATGATTTGTATTAATTACATCCAGCTGCAGACCTTGGATTTTATGAGTGATGTATTTGTGCGCGAATTCCCGTAGCACTTGGGTAGTTCTGCTGTTCTGGGTCTATTATGATGTAAATAAATGTCCATCTCAGTAAACATGTCTGGTAATTAACGATCCTTGGTAAGTCTTTCAGAATATAAACAATCTTAACGGTTTTACTGTGTGAATACATGCATACATTCATGTACGTAGTCATGACTTTGTTAAACCTTATAAATCTCTTGGGTGAACATTTTGCCCTGTTAATTTCTCAAATTTTTGTCTCCTTTACTTTCTAATGCTGTTTTTCTGTTTAATTCTGTGCCTACTTGTTTCTCTGTATACCAATTTATTTACCTGCAATCCAGTGTCTTTTCTTAATGTTATAAAATAAGGAAAACGTACAATTTTCAAAGATTTTTATATTAATGCTGCTGCCCCCCAGTAGCACAGCGGTATGTCTGCGGACTTACAACGCTAGAAACCGGGTTTCGATACCCGTGGTGGGCAGAGCACAGATAGCCCTTGTGTAGCTTTGTGCATAATTAAAAAACAAACAATTAATGCTGCTTTTACAACTCGGCTCCACGTAGAGTCAACACATACACATTTCTAGAACTGGATGTATAACTCGGGTCCACCTAGAGCGCCCCCCAGTGGCACAGCGGTATGTCTGCGGACTTACAATGCTAGAAACCGGGTTTCGATATCCGTGGTGGGCAGAGCACAGATAGCCATTGTGTAGCTTTGTGCATAATTAAAAACAAACAAACAAACCACCTAGAGCCAAGACGTACACATTTCTAGAACTGGAAGTACAACTCAGGTCCACGTACAGTCAACACATACACATTTCTAGAAATAACCTCTTAACCTCACTCTGTACACTTAGTTAGATGCTGATTGTAAGCAAAATAACTTTTTTTTAAATCAATTATTGGTAGAAAAATTAAAGTTGTACAAGGAATGTGGTTATTGAATCGTCTTCTAACAGTCTTCTTACGCACGCATATAAGAAATACCCCTACATCCAAAAATGTTGGCGTTGTATAATTCTTAATTATTAGCACTTGTAGGATACAGTTAGTTTTGAAAAAGTCGACGTTACTAACACCATAAACTAAACTATACTGGTATTTTGAGTTTCATTATTGTTCTTACAGTATTTAGGGAATAATTTTTATAAGATGAAATTAGTTACAATTGTCTTTCAGGTAACTTACTACCTAGATTAACTAAATTATTACATAGATCAACTAACTTATTATCTTTACTGAGTAATTTATTATCTCAATTGAGTAAGTTGTAACCATGACCACGTTACTTATTCCCTGGATCGGGTAACTTATTCTCTTGATCGAGTAACTTACAATTTTGGACAAGTTAATTAGTACCTTGACTCAGCAGCAAATAAATGACCAATCCCGAGATAAAAAAAAGACGAAAACTGTTCACTGAGATTACATTACTTAATAATATATGGATGTAGTTCATTGAGATTCTGTATTCATAGCATCCTTTAGATCGTTTTTCATTATTTTAATATATGATAACGAAAAACCACCAAAGGTACCTCTGCTATACTGTACTGTAATATCATTTCTGTAACTGGTTAGTTTCCAGGAGCACCAAAGATACCTCTGCTATTCTGTAGTGCAGTGTCATTTCTATAATTTGTTATTTTTCAGGAGTACCATAGGTACCTCCGCTATTCTGTAGTGTAGTGCCATTTTTGTAATTTGTTAGTTTCCACGAGCACTAAAGGTACCTCCGCTATTCTGTAGTGTAGTGCCATTTTTTGTAACTGATTAGTTTCTAGGAGTATCAAAGATATCCTTCGCTATTCTGTAGTGTAGTGCCATTTTTGTAACTGGTTAGTTTCCAGGAGTATCAAAGATATCCTTTGCTATTCTATAGTGTAGTGCCATTTTTGTAACTGGTTAGTTTCCAGGAGTATCAAAGATATCCTTCGCTATTGTGTAGTGTAGTGCCGTTTCTGTAATTGGTTAGTTTCCAGGAGTATCAAAGATATCCTTCGCTATTCTGTAGTGTAGTGCCATTTTTGTAACTGGTTAGTTTCCAGGAGTATCAAAGATATTCTTCGTTATTCTGTAGTGTAGTGCTGTTTCTGTAATTGGTCAGTTTCCTGGAGCACCAGAAGTACCTCCACTATTCTGTAGTATATTGTCGTTTCTGAAATGGGTCTCGTTCTACGTATGCATTTCATTGTATTTGTAACATAACCTTTGATTACCATTCAAAATAGTTTGAGATGCAATATTGAAATACTTATAAATGGAATTTTTTATATGAAATTATTGCATTCGTACTTGATTTCAAGCGAGAAGGTATTATTATTTTCTGATAAATGTTATACGTCTTACCAGAATATAGTTATAAACGTGAGTCTTCGCCTTCTAAGTGTTGTTTCTCAGTTTTATGCACACGTCTCTAGGTCCAGTGTTTTACGTACGACAGTTCGTTCATCAGCAGTCTAGATAAGTAATCATTTTCCAGTTCTTTCTCACACTATAAAAATATATTCCCACGACTATGTTTTGAGAATCTGTTGACCTGCTATACCATTTATTATAATTATTTTTTATGTCTAAATGCACAGATTGATTGGTTGCGATTTTGTTTTTGTGGGAAAGAATTATGACTACTTTTACATGGGCACATCAAATAATTCGACGTTCAAGATTTTTATTATGATTTTTGAATATTTCTTGAGAATTTACAAACTTCGAAGTTTCATGCTGCTAATCTGTTTATTAATGAATTATTCATTATTGTCATACATACTTGTGTATATGAAGAATTAGAAGAAATAAAAATCATACATGTTTAATAATCATGTTGTAAAGATAGTTCTATCCTTGAGACAAATATGTACAGTAATTACGACAAATCTGTCTTCTTTCTTTAAAATAATAATAATAAAGTGAAAGCTTTTATTTACACTCTTTCTACTCAGGGTATCTTCCTTAAGCTTGTTTTAGTGCAAAGCTCTGTTTACTATGGGAAATCGAACCCTGGATTTTAACATTGTAAGTCCGTAAACATACCGCTGACCCTCGAAAGGAGTGGTAAAATAAGCACTAACCTAGTGAGGGTAAACAAACTTAATAAATCTTTCTTACACGCAGCAGTCCCATAATAACGATCATCAATAGATTCAGCGTATGCATTGCCATTTTGAAATTCTTTAATATGGACTGAAACATATTATATTTTGATGCAAGTAATGGTACTAATTAGCTTTACTTAGCTCCTCATTGGCTCAGCGGTGTCTGAAGGTTTATAACACTAAAATCTGGTTTCGATATCTTTGGTGGGGACAGCACAGATAACCCATTCTGTAGCTTTGTGCTTAAGATCAAACAAACAATCAAAAGCTTTACTCAGTTTATGAATACTTTTAAAGCAATCTCCTAATTTTTTGTCGTATGATTTTCAAAAATACAGATGAAAGTTTGTTCATGATGTGCTTGAACTCTATGTACTTTTAAAATATATGAAAGTATTGAGCGTATAGAGGCGTAAAAAAGAATAAAATGAGGTCCTTTACTTGTTACGATTTAATAGCACGCAAAAAAAAAACCACACACACCTTTAATTCAAATTTTTGTAGCACCTTTCAAATACTTTTTAATTAGTTTTTCATCAATTCAAAAACACACAATCAACTATTATTGAATAACACTTAAGAAATTTCGGGTATGGTAATTTGAGTTGTTAAAAAGTGTCTTACTTGGAAAAATTAGCGGTTAACCCCTTAGTTCAGTTTGTAGAGAACTTGTTAATTCAAATCCAGTTTGACTTCCAGTGGCTCTGCAAAAAGTCTACAGGTTTACGACGCTAAAATTTGGGTTTCGATACCATTGGTAGCAAAAACAGATAACCCATTCTGTAGCTTTGTGCTTAACACCAACTAAAACCGAAGCAAATTAAAATCCTGTTCGAAGAAAAAATTTGCTTCCTGCCTTGATGATATAATTTATTTTACATAACAAAAGTCTGATGCGTTGTTAGAGTATTACTATCGACATGCAGTCTAGGAAACACATTACAACTCTTTAAGACGCGGTCCTCTTTACAAACTAATACTCGATTTTAACACTGCATCAGAGGCATGGTGACGAAAGTCAAGTGTTTAGCCTTATAGTAAGATAGAACAAAACATGAACAATATGATAAATTCTGAATCATCATTTTTTGCTTTTCAGTTCCAATAAGTTGTTGCTGGTCGTGTATATTAGGAAGAGTCTTCTTTAATTTTAAGTCTCGAAGACGTTTAATTTAAGGAATTTAAATGCAAACGCATCCACAACGAATTTGTTGTCTTTATGTGAAATATAACAACGATTTTTGACGTACGATTGTAAATATATTGAGATTCGATTATGAATACAGTGTCTGCTTCTGGTGACCCATGTTATGTAAAAACGCATGATTATTATTTTGTATATAACTTTTAATGACAATTTTTTTTGTTTTTGTTTTAAGGACAAAGTAATGTTGTCCTGCATTATAAAAGACAGTCGTTTACATCTCGGCTTTATGTGTTTCAAGTTTGTTCGATAGGCGTTTTGCAGTGTTAGTAGTTATTTGATGACTTAAACATTAAATTAGGCTAAAAGATTTTTTTCTTTAAAAAAACAACAACAAACATTTTCATTATTCTGAGAAAAATTAGCTGTTTTAATTCTAGTGACAAGTAGAACTACAAATAGGATTTTAATTTGGGAGACGAATTAATTTGTATAGAATTTGTTACTTTTAAACGAATTTATTATTCTAGCGCAAAGCTACGCAATGAGATAACTCATTGTATAACTTTCGGTGCTACCATCGCAGGGTTCGAAACTCGAATTTTAGTGATATAAGCCTAACATTCAAAGAGAATTCACTACATGTAAAGTGTGGTATTTTCTGGTACGTACCTATGTTTACGTAAATTGCCACAAGTAACCAAAGTAAGAGTCGGTTATGAATTACATTAAGTACAATTTATATGTCGTATAATAGTATTATATACTAGGCGATAAATAATTTTGACATAGAATAGTATGAACGTTAACAAGAAATGTCAAGAGAAACTATTTTTTTTGTGTATATTGTTTTTTCAGTGATGGCAAAGTTCGTTTTGGGATGAACATTCACATCTAAATATCTACATATTTTCATAGGTGAAAGTTTCTTGTGAGTAAAAGATTTAAGTATTGAACTTCATCTTAATAGGTCCGGCAGGGCCAGGTGGTTAAGGCACTGGACTCGCAATCTGAGGGTCGCGGGTTCGAATCCCCGTTACACCAATCATGCTCGCCCTTTCAGCCGTGGGGGCGTTATAATGTGACGGTCAATCACACTATTCGTTGGTAAAAGAGTAGCCCAAGAGTTGGCGGTGGGTGGTGATGACTAGCTGCCTTCCCTCTAGTCTTACACTGCTAAATTAGGGACGGCTAGCGCAGATAGCCCTCGTGCAGCTTTGCGCGAAATTCATAAAACAAACAAACAAACAATCATCTTAATATCACAAATTGTCTCCATCATCGTTGTTTGAAGCAGTTATTCTTGTGAGATATTAAATTATTCAACGTTCTTCGAGCTTTAAAATCATAGAGGTCACAACAGACCTTTACCATCTGTTTAGGCTTAGAACCGAGGTGCTTGTGCGTACAGCTGATGACAGATTATTGGTGGGTGGAATTTTAATGTGGGCGAGTGGTCGGTGGCCTTCGCTGCGTTGTCAAAATAAAATAAAGAATTACGGAAGCAAATGAGAGTTCGTAAGATAAATACCAAAAGGAGTGTGTGTTCTAATTTTCGCTATATCATATACATGACAGATTCTGTGGTTATTATTAATGTTTGGTTCAACCCGAAAGTTTAAGAAGCGAAACGCTTAATTATGGTTTGAAAAAAATATATTATTAAGATATCAAAATAAAATGTTAATATTGATGACTTTTTTCATATAACGTGTAATATACGTAAGGAAAAATACACATATAAAAATGAAAACGAGCATATTGTAACTAAACTTTTTCCGAAACAATGATTTACTCAGTACTAAAGAGAAAATTGTAATAAAGGTATTTATAGACTTAATATTTAGATATATTTTGCATCTATGTATTTTTATTCTAATAACGAAGATAAATTTTGTAATCATGATTTTTCAAAGCCGAACTAAATGCTTTCATCGAAAAATTGAGAAATTATATAAGTATTTTTTGTCCATTAAAAAAGCACTTAAGGCATTAAGGTAATTTCTTATGACTCAGAAGTGGTTTGGAAATTTAGCTTTTTCATTATTATATAAAACAAGAATGTTAGAAAATAAGGATAAAAAAAATTATCGTCTTCTATACTGTTTCAAATGTTGTCCGGAATATACCCTGCTCCTGAGTTTTGGTATTGGGTTTCATATATTTCGCTACAACTAGGTGGTTGACTAGTGACATATGTTCTACTGTTTATGTTTAACTAACCACAGCGTCAGTAGCAAATGCAAGGGAGGGTCCAAGGGGTCCAGACCCCTTTATTTCCAATACAAAAAAAAAAAAAAATTGAAGAAAATACTAAAATATTAAATTGAAATAAAGAAAAAAATTGAGGTGCAATTATTAGAAGTATTATACTTGTTTCATGGGATTAGTTATAGTTGTATTACTGTCTGTAACGTGTCAATGTTGAAGATAGCCGTAATGAATCCTTTCTTCCAAAATATTATGTTCGATTTATAACCTACTACAGGTCGCTGAAAGAGTTCTTTTCATCGGTATGACACTCAAACATTCCATAAGTGTCTCTAGCTTCTCAGCGAAGAGCGCTTTATATAACTTGATTCAGCAGGTCACTTCAAAATCCTAATTCTATCAATCAGTTCCGGAAATGAAGGGAAAGATGTTCTCAAAGGTAACATAAAGTCCTGGTCATTCTGATTTCTTATTGCTAATTTGCCATCGGAAGTGATCAGCACAAATCAATGGAAAGTGTCAGGAAATTGAATTTAGATTTCAGCTTTCAAAAATTCCTCAACTTCTGAGAAGGAGCTAGCCCCCTCTCAGACTCTTCAATACCCATTCATTTAGATCCATCCTTGAGCGTGCTTAAACACTAGAATAAGCACTTACATTCATTTTACTGTAATTTGATTTTACCTTGAAATCAAATTGATAACAGTATACATTCATAATAAAAACACTGGATGTCTTCAAAATTTCAAATTTCAAAATGTCTTCCAATTCTTGTTATTGAATTTCATTGATAATTTTTCAAAGTACAATTAAATAAATGCCTAGAATAATTTAACTGTAAAAACGTGCATAGCACCAAGCATTTTCTCCCAAGCCATAGTATGCATTAGTTTTAACAATGGACTGACTAAATTATATCTTGAACAAATACCGATGAGGTAGAAGTCTGGGTTTAATTTTGTCAGAATACATTTCAGCTTCAGAAATACTAATCTAACAAAAAAAATTTCACACAAAAAAAGTATTTTGTTATACGAGTGGAGAAAACGAAAGTCTTTTGAAGTGAGGAGAAGGGTGATCAACACTTGTACATCAGCAAAAGTCTCGAGCCACGAGGCGTACGCGTCAGTTTCTAGTCTGCTATCACTACTGACACATCTGTGACCCATCAGGAAGCCTACCTACTTTATGGTGGTGTTTCGAAATGTGCTGAATATTTTTACTTCTTTTATCACTCTGTTGTGTGTGTGTCGAAGTGTAATATATTCACAGCATTAATTCTGAACTTTTAAACGTTTATTTGAATATGAATGATTAGTTTCATTTATAGCCCCCTCCCTTTCCAGTCACGCTCGAGCTATTTGTTACTTAATTTGAGAGGATATCATTCGTAAGGTTTCTCTTCGTCAAACTCAGTTTCATGTAAGTAACGTGCGTAGGCAGAGTGCTGAATAATTTTTTTCTTTTCTTTTTTTCTGTCGTTGCGCTGGCGTGTTTCTGTCCACGTTGATTATCACACTGTCACCAGTTAGGACTCGCTGATTTAAGGATAGTTTCTGGTTGAGCCTAATCTAAGGCGCACCAACAGAAACAGTGAAGTGACTACACAGTCGCAGCAATGGCCTAAACCACATTCCATGCGGGTGCCCAAATTGGAAAGTTCATTAAAGTGAACGGCGCCTTCTTTAGTTTCTGTAGCCAACAAAAACTGTTGGCAATCCTGTGAATCTCGGCTTTGAAGAAGCTTAACGTCATTACTAACGAATGAACTGCATCAGATGAGAAGAGATTGTGTTTGTGCTATGGCTCGACCGAAGTGTAGAAATCAGTGTCGTAACAATGTCAACCTTCGGTTATTATCAGGCAAGACCCTTATACACAGAGATGTGACAATACTGTGCATCGTAACGTTTGTTGTCATATCAACAGGTGTTTTTAGGCCAGTGAAAGCTGCTCTTCCTTCAGGTTTGTCATTTTTATTTATTTAATTGTTCTTTGTATTTCAAAGATAAAATCAGTTTGCATTATCACATTGATCGTATTTATATAAAGCAACGATTAATTAGTGACGTAAATACACAAACTTGTGCAAATATAATTACGAAGGAAACAGTTATACGCTGTTAACTTCTTTCCACAACAGGATCTCTGTGTGTAACTGAACGTAATGAACACTAGTTGGGACAGCGAGATAAACTGTAATAATTATATTGGATAGGTTGTTTAGGCAGAGTATTCATACTAAGTCTAAGTTTCAAATGGACAACAACTGCCTGTTGTAGAAACCTACAAATGTAGAGGACGACGTTTCGAAAGTCTTCCGCCTTTCGTCTTCAGTGTAATGATTCTAGTTAATTATTTTAATATGAATCCCGGAAAAAAAGGAAAACATTTCATGTTGTTAGATAAACTAATGGTTTAATTACTGTTTCTTGAAACATTCGATATTTAGTGAAACTGTATAATCAAAGAAATGAGTAAAAACAAGACAGTTGTACGTTTCACAAATACATAATTTATTACGACCATGGTTTTGCCAGTAAAGGCACGATGCATTTACTGGTGAAGCTTATCCATGGTCGTAGCGTTCAAGATACGCCCTGGTGTGAGTATTGAAAGACAGGGTGAATTAGACGGGTGAACAAATACGAGGATGCTAACCTATGTCAGCCGTGCTTATTACCCATGTACGGGTCCCCCACTGGCTCACCAGTAAAACCGAAGGTTTATAGCGCTATAAACCGGGTTTCGATACCCGTGACGGGCACAACACAAATATTTCGTTGGTGTTGCTTTGCGTTTAACAACAAACAAACACATGCATGGTCTGCAATGTAACCACCCCTCCTTCAAGGAAAGTGCTAGGCCATATTTTAAATAACTGAGTAAATTTAACATTACTTGGCTCATCGGTATGCTGTTGACCAAAGTTTAACATAGCTTAAGGTGACAGGTTGAATAATAAAACACTGAAATATAAGGTCCAAAACACTTTTACAAACATTTTACGACTGGCAGAAGCTCATGTAAGTCTATATCCGAAAAGAAGATAAGCCTGATACTCATAGGAGAAGCAAGTCAAAATTGTCTTGGAAGCTGTTTAGCTGCAAGGTTTTGATAGAAAACTGTATTCCCGCATCAGACTCTAAAACAAGTATCAAGAGCGTGTTCTGTTTTAGTTAGAAAGAAATAAGAGAGAATAACGACCAAGAACACTTACAATTGGTTTGTTTGAAATTACGCAAAGCCATCCATAATTTAGCAGTGAAAGACTAGAAGGAAGGTAGCTAATAATTACCAACTCTTGGACTACTCTTTTACCAACAAATAGTGGGATTGACTGTAACTTTATAACGGCTGAAAGGGCGAGCATGTTTGGTGGGACGGGGATTTTACTTACGAATAAAAAATTCGATATTTTTTCTGAGAGGCGTTTTTGAATAAACTGAGTAAAATGCAACAACAAGATATTATTTACGAATAATTATTGATATATGTCTTGTTTGGAACGATTGCTCAAATATTTTATTAGCAAAATTTCAATAAATAAATGCATAGAAGTTGGCGAAAACACTGGATGTAAAAAAAAAAAAATTCCCGACTATGCAACTCCCAAATCCTCCACCCCCCGTTACGCCTGGAGTAATATCTATAAACTATATAAAGCCAGACAAGCAAGTGGCAAAAAATACGGGTTACAGGGAACCATTTGCTGTCCAAATTAATTTTGTAACCAAGATTTTATCAGAATATAACGTACAGAACTAAATCGCTTGACATTAGAGCCGGAAGAACTAGTGAGGGAACAATTATGAGAAATTAAGACTTCAGGTTAAATTTTCTAAACGTTGAATTTTCAAAGTTAGCCATGTTTATTTGTTCGTCAGTACCACAGGAGTGTGAAAGGGCGTTTTTCTCCAATTCCAGTCCTGGTGGTTAGGGCGCTCAACTTTCAATCTGCTTGTCGTGGTTTAGAATCCCGTCACCGAACATACTCAACTTTTCAACTTTGGGAAGTGTTAATGTGACGATTAATCCTACTCTTCGTTGGTAAAAGAGTAGTCCAAGACTTTGCGGTAGGCAGTGTTGACTAGCTGCCTTCCCTCTAGTCTATCATTTCACTTCTAAATTAAGGACGGCTAACGCAGGTAGTCCTGGAGGAGCTTTACACGAAATTCAACAAGCACAAAAAACTCCAATTCAAATGCGTATGTACACGCCCTTAAAACTTCTATTTGAAAATAAAATGTCAAGATCTGTTTTACTGTTGCGTCATAAAAGCACTTCATATTTTCAGTTTACGTTCATATTCTCAGTTCTCGTTCCTGTATTTAGAGACACCACTGAATTCGAAGGGTTGGGAGGGCTGAACCATGGTGGGCGAAACGAGCGTGGTGCTGGTGTTGTGGTAAAGAAGTGTTTAAAACAGAGCTATACAATGATGAAACTAATAACGTCCAAGTCAGTGTTGAAGTCAACTCTGTGTGTATGTGTGTTTATGTATGTATTACATGAGGTTGTTCAACCCAAAGCTAAAACAGAAGCTTTTCGGGTATGCATACACATACACACATTATATTAAAGTAAACTTTGTTAAATTAACTTTAAGTGTTTGTAATAGCCTCTTTTTTATATCAAAATAACAAAATGACGTGTTTAGTCAGCTGAAGCTTATTTTTCTTGTTAGGAGATGTATATGTTATATTGTGTAATTAACACCGACCATTAGGCTTGGTGCAATGGTGCTATCTATAATTACTTGTGATGCTATATTAATGTGTCTCGGACATTAATGGACAGATTTTGATTAAATATTTTCAATAAAAACAATTTATGGTTTAAAATATAACGTGTGGAAATCAGAAATGCCTTCATATTTTCCTAGTTGACGTATTTACATCATCAAGGGCCCACGCTGGTTCTGCGATAAGCTCGATAGCTTATAACTTTAAAATTGGAGGTTCCATCTCCGCGATGGCTGCAGCATGAGTAGTCTGTTTTGCAGCTTTATACTTAAGCATAAACAAACAAACAACGTTAGCTCGGGCATAAATGATTAAATTTAGGTCAAAAGCCAAGATCAATGCAAATAATGTCGCTTTTTCGACAACTAAGAGATCCGTAGTGATAGATTGATTAATGCGTATGTTGTAACATACTGACTCATGGAAAAGAGAAAGGACCTTTGTTACAATCTGATGATAGGTATTTAGTAGTCACTAAATGCTTTGTTTTCACCAACTACTTATGTTTTTAAGGCATATACTGCGTCAAAAATGTGCTTCAAATTGTTAAAACTTTTGATTCGGACGATATTCCTTCTCTTTCAAGTAACAACCAATCAAACACGTGTGTTATGCTCCTTGTAACATTCACAATATGGGATTTTTACTGGGCAGTTTGGAAAAAAAATCAGGAACATTATTATTTTAGTTTTTATTATTGTTATTAAGTGCAAGACTACAAAATGTTGTGTACCCACCACGGATATCAAAGTATTAGAAGTCTTCAGACTTACCACGGAGCCACTGAGGAGGAATCTGAGAAGATGAGCTAGCATTTTGGATACACACATCACTGTTGAGCACATATTATTAGTTCTTAGGAAGATAATATCTTCATACCAGTAAGCACAATTCAGTTACAGTCGTCGTGCTCATGGTTCTAATTATGCGTCATGTTAACTCTTAGAGTCTGTTTTTCCTAAACTTCACAAAATTAAAGTCATTCAAAAACAAATACTCGTATCAAGTAGATGTAAATTGCAAGGATGTCGTTACTCCACGCGCGTCTTGTGGGGATTGGAATGATGCTAACACGTGTCATGTCCACATCAATTAGGTCGTTGACATCCCCCCCCCTTCCGCCTATATTTTGTAACATTTTAAAAACTATTATTGAACACGAAAGTTGATTGGCCAGATTATTTTGTCATTCTATGGAGAAAACCTACTTTCATGAATGGTAGTTAAGCAGTAATTAAGTGTATTTTAACCGGTAGTTTCCCATAATAAATGTAAAAAAAAAAAAGCCCTGGTTGTTATGAGGTGAAATGGGGTTGCACGTGATGTTCTGAGAAGGAAGACTATTATGTTGCAATGAAATATATTTACGAATATTCACACTCACTGTAAACGATTTTAGAAAACACTTTTGTAGTTCATTAGTTCAGAAAATTCATCTTAGCTAAGAAACAGTTAAAAACGAACATTGTCATGTATAGAAACAAATTGTTATCGTTATCGTTTTTTTCCCTTCCAAACCACTTATATTTTTAGCCTCCCAGTGGCACAGCGGTATGTCTGCGGACTTACAACGCTAGAATCCGGGTTTTGATACCCGTGGTGGGCAGAGCACAGATAGCCCACTGTGTAGCTTTGTGCTTAATCACAAACGAAAAAAAAACTTATATTTTAGACAGTAAAAGGTATGACATGGATATATGCTCTTCGTGCACAAGTTGTTCTGCAAATGTTTTACGCATTTCCACTTAAACTATTGATATTTATTGACCTTGATAAAATAATAAACAGTAAATAACAATTCTTACGAAATGCACTTTTAATTATTTCCATTTTTCTCTTCAATGTTTAATGATAAAGGTAGAAAACACTGATATGAAGCAAAGTATGTATATTTAATTCAACTAAAAACATATACCAAACTGCTTGACTTTCTGTTCAAAGTTTACAGACTTACAACGCAAAATCCGGGGTTCAATTCTCCGCGGCGGACACGGCAGATAGATACTTTATAAATTAGAATTAAAATAAGGCCCTTCTGAGCTGTACATAGAGTAGAGTTTCCTTGCGTGCGTAGTTATAGGGTATTAATACGCTTCGTGCCTAAAAATATAGATCACTTGTCAGTGACCTCCCAGAAAGTATTAAACTCACAAGCATATGTACACACACACACACTCATATATACATATACAACTTCAAGAATTAAAAGCCATTCAGGGA